AGGTACGCAATCAATGGCGCGTGCGCTTCGCTCTCCGACTTTGCTTCTTATCATATCTTCAGCGAAAAACTACGCAGAACAGGTAATGGCTCGACCATACGCTTCACCAGCCTAAGGACAATGTTGTCTGGGAGACTTTCTCTCACGAATCGGGTCCTGGCTGGTTGCAACGTCAAGACGACTAACTGAAGCCATGAGAGTACGTGATTGCTGCTGTTCGCGATCGCATCTTCTGCCCTGCAGAACTTGCGCGCCAGTTGACCCAAATTTGGTCGGGGGTATGCTGCTAACCGGCTGCGGCGGAAGACGATAATTCGCGATACATTAGAGTCGCAATATATAGTCTTCTCAATTAGTCATTCTAGTTGCTTTTTGCAGGGTACAGGGTGTTGTGTGTTAGGTGTTAGTGGTTGTGCTGGGGCTTGGCTGTCCCTATGACCATTTCTCTGTTTGTCTGTTTCGGTTCCTATATCCTGTTGCTTTCTACGTCCTTTTGGGCCTCTGTGTTTTCTTTTTTATCCGACTGCATCCTCTTTTTTATTGTTTCCGCAGACGTGGGCATTGAGCGTGTGAACGCCTGGCGTGTTAACTTGTTGGGCGCTGTGGAAGACTCTCTAAACACTGTGCTTCTGGCAAGAAGTGAATCGACTCTCGCTGACCTCCTTACAGAGGCCAGTACTGACATCGGTGCTAGTTACATGAATGCCTGCGTCTTTACTGAGGTCTCCTGTTTTCTCACCTCTTACACTTTTACTCGTCCGGCGCGTACAATGATTCAATCTTTTCTCTCCTCGTTCCCTCTTCCTGAGGTAATCCTCTGACTGAATCCTTATTTCGAAACAGTTAGATTATTAGCAAAACCTACCACATTATAAGTGTTTTGTTTCTGTGCGCAGTTATTCCTTCCTGTAACTTCGAATCCGCGATCAAGAACGTTTAGTGTGTGTTCTTAGGGGCACAGTACCATCCATCCGAAGGGCCCCTCAGGGCTCTCACGATTTTTGAATACCACACAAAAGAATATGTTCCAGGGCCCTTTATTGCATCTACACAGCGCTGCTGTCGGTTGTGCTCCCTCTTGCCTGTTCAATTTTACATCCGCTCGGCCATTCCCTTTTGGCCAGATCATTGGCGTCCTAGTGTGCCTTTTTGTTGGCTAAGCCTTTTTGAGTACCAATTTTTTTCATCGGAAACATGGAGTTCTGTCAGCGGCGGAAAGATTACATGGATGTCTATTATTCGACTTTATCTACGCCAACCCCCGGAAACGTGCTGTTCAACCTCTGACGGAAGACTACAGCGCCTAGAATGATCACTGCTCTTGTATTTGCCGTTGTCAACCAGATATTCGGGAAAAGC